TCAAGGATGCTGAGTATAATCTGTCACTCTATCCTAGCCGCTGTTCCTGCACACGTTTTATTGTTGACAGTCTCAGTTACAAGGAACACTCCTCGCTCTGGAGTGGTCCACGCAACCGCTTTGTCTGGCCCCTACGTCGGGAACATGCACTTGGTGGTTTTGCCTCTCGTATTGTTGGTCAATCTGTGTGTTGGATATCCGTCGCCAGTATACTAAAACCCAGTGCGATTTTTTCGCTGTTTAGCAAAAAAATCTGGCGTTTGGCGTGCAGGCCATGCGTATGGTCCTGGGCCGCGTCATTTGATGGCCTGTGTATGACTCATTACCTGCCCACACAAACACACAGGCACAGTGACTCATTCGGACATCTCGTCCAAATTAGTCTTCCATGGGCTGTCTGCCCCTCCCCCTCCCTCATCTGTCGTTCCTCTTCGTATTTTTACGTGAACTCCTGCATCTCTCGGGGGGTGGGACCTCAAGCCCGCGCGGATGGTGGCAGTCGGTATGCATGGCGCGGTACGCCTTAGAACCTCGAATTTCTATCAGATGTGACTGATGCTCTACAGTTTTGGAGATTTGCATAATAGGCAGGGTGCCCTGGACTTTGCATATCTGGCGACATGCCATCCTATCAGCAATATGCTTCTGCCTATATTACTGGTCGCTTCACCCTTACCGAGTTGTGTTCAGTCATGCCGACTGCACTAGGCCATCTTCTATTTGGCCCTACTGGCTAGAATTGTCTAACACGCTCTTTTACATGTCTGTCACCGGGAAGCCGAGGCTGGTCTGTTAGCCAGTCTGCGGTCTGATCGGCGCTTCGCCAGGTGGTGTGTAGGGAGGCGACCTTCAGCGAAGGCTAACTCTCGCGTCTGTCGAACAGGCAGTCCCGGGCCATTCTGCAGCACCGCCCTAATACGTGACTAGGCACTGATCTAGCGGATCGGCTACCTATAAAAAGATCACAGTCCACAAGCGTTACTACGACGTGATTAATGTTGCCCTCCATCCAATAGGAATCCTCTCAGCGTCTGGCGCAATCCGGTAACCTTGGGCTGGCGTGCCGCGTCCACCTCCGAATCCAGGAACAGCACGAACTCGTTCTCCCCTCAAGCCGCTCCACGCAGCCGCTGCTCTACGAGTCGCACCTTAACCGCGTTTTAGGCGATCAGAGGACTATGATCAGCACGCTCTGGTAGTTTTATTTTGTCCCAGTGACGATTAAGGGGAAAATTTTCTACCCAACAGCAACTAGTATGTCAGTGTATCGGTCCACCTTTCTTCTGACTCAACCATACTTCCTGTAATTGTGATGATCATTCACTACAGTTCGGTATGTGACCATGAAGTCGCATCAACAAGCTGGCATACTAGTCTTCCGCATTCAAACTGATTTTAGCGTAGCTCCGCTTTCCCATACTTTTTCCATTCCCTTGTTCACAAGGACCAGCAAGCAATATATGCATGCTTACGACATCGTTTAATTTCACTACATCACATTTGCCTTTTTTCCTGCCCAGGTCTTCCTTTCGAAGGATTTTCTTGAGCAACTCGAAAGTCAGTTCTCCATTCTGCAGTACCCCGAAGAAATCGTTCTGCCTCTGGTTTTCCGATGGCCTGAAAGACGTCTCCGAATATGTCTGCTGGAATCTGCCCCTCCAGGCGTTTCCACTCCGTCTTCCGCACCTCAGACTTTAGGCTTTCAGGCAAAGTCCCCCGTCAGTAGTGGGAGTGGCATAGCCGGCGGGGTAAGCCCGTCTTCCCTGCTTTCGGATGGTCGTCCTCCTGCAAAGTCCTTCTCTCCCTATGCCTCCCCGCCGGTACATTGTTTCCCACATTTCCCGCCCGGCTGTGTGCCGCCGCCCTCTGTAATGGCTGCCTTCATCAACTCAGCATCCACCTGGCAACAACAACAACAACAACAAGAGGGGTCTCGAAGATCCATCCACGGATTGCCCACCTCTGCAGGTACAAATTCATCCACTCGCAGTCCAGACTCCGTTCCGTTCGCCTTGCAGCAACCAGCCGCACCACCACACTTCCCCTTTGCGAGTAAGCCCTCGCCCGTCTCCCCTGCACCTCTCATGCAGCCCAATGGGGATGGAGGCGGCCCCACGTTGACCAACTTGCCCCCCATGTCAGCGGACACGTTGGCCAAGATGCCACCTGAATTCGTCACCGCTGTGCGCGCCATGCAACAGATTCAGGCGCCCAGTGGCAACCCTCAGGGTTTCATGGAAGCCATGCAGGCCATGTTCTCCTCCTTCGGCTCCCTCTATCGTCCGTCAATGTCTGCCGCTGGTGATTCGAAGTCGCCGGTGTCCAATAGTCCCTTTGGATTCCCTGCCGTACATCCGTTTTTGCAGTCTTTTGGCTCGGACACGATCTGTTCGCAGCCTACTTCACGCCCGCCCTGGTGATGGCCGGTCTCTAGTCGCCTCTCTTCCTTCTCTGGCCTGAGGAACTGTACAAATTCACCCAAAGCCGTCTCTGCCACCTCATTGTCTGCTTGGGCTTCTGTAAACCCACAGAAGCCTCTCCGTTTGTTTCTCTTCTGGCGATCTTCTGCTCCAGGTTCCCTCATTGCGTTTGACTTTGCCCAATTGTGTCACCTCCCGACTCTGTATTTGACTTCCTTCCGTGGAGAGTGCCTTGTGCATACAGGCAAAACTCCATTTTTTTCTGATCTAAACTTTTGACTCAGTTTATTCACTGGCATTGCACCCAACTGCACGCACCTGCAATCAATCGGGACTTTTAAGTGCATCCTCTGTGCTCTGTCCCTTTTCTTGATGAAACAATCAAACGTATCTGTATCTAGTCTCTTCCGACCTGGCTGACTTAGGCTTTGCCGTCTCTTCAACTAACCTACCTTTGACTGAACAAAAGCATGAGTGCCTGTTAGAAGACGATAGATTTAAAGAAAACTCTTGCCACCTGGAATACCTTAACTTGGGTGCATCTTTGGTGAATGTAGAAACTGGTTCTGCAAAACCTGGTATAGTGTACAATAAAGAGATTTTGTTTTTAGCACTAGAGAATTTATCTCTCTGATTTTTGTCCGTAGTCTCCTTGACTATCTACTTGGACTATCAGACTGCCTTCATATGATTTATGAACTTTAATGACTGTGTCCTAGACTTACGGGCCTCGCGCATGCTTTGAGGTCTTCGTGCGCCCAGGAGGGGGAGGGGGGGGGGAGCACGCCATCAGTCGGCCTCTCCGTCTTTCCATAGTTGATAGTCGGCTTTTGTATCGATGAATAAAAGTAAAGCACCGGTCTGATATCAAGAGCGAAGCTCAACAAAGTCAACAAGAGCCTTGTTCAAAGGTGCTGCACTCATAGGACGTGTTTATCGTGCTGTTCGTATTCTCAGTACACTTCCGGGGTCCTCCGTATGGCAGATTGGGTATGGTGGGACTTTGCTGCTGCTCAGTAATCATAAGTATCTCTAAGGGTCTCAAGTGTTTTGCTGACCTACTTATCAGAACAATTTGAATTAAGACAGACTAACGGGTACTAGGACTGTCTCTGATACAGTGTCCATGAGACAAGTTTTTTTCGCCCGCATTTTCGGGTTCACCCTCGAATTCCTCATCGCAAGCAGTACTGTGCAATGTTTTCACAAGGGTTGCAGTATTTATCGACGACATTTTCTCTCCTGCGCGCGGTGTTTGCCGTGCAATCGCGACTGAACGGTCAATCACATGGAAGAGTGGACTCGCCATCTGATTTTGAAAGCTATCCGACGTCTACACTATAGATCTGCCGGAAAGAATTTAGGTTCGCAAGTTGATTCCGCCGGGTGACACAAATTCTCCGTCTGCGTGGGCTTCTCATGTTCCGCAGTCCGTCTCTGTCAAAATTGTACTAATCGCGAACCGTCATTATGGCTTTCCTGGTCTGTTTGAGATCCTTTTCTCCCCTCAAGCTCTACAGTGGAGTTAGACACTGGCTCTCCTTGTGTACATGCCGACCGCGCACTCTTTACGTAGTACACCATGGTTTACTGATCCTGATATAGCAGCCGCTTACAGTCCTTAAAGCCCAGAAGGGTGACATGCAGCCCCGCATTTAGTCTGGGCCATCACCCTTCAAAGACTTCGCAACCAATCAGTCATCGACTGAAAGGCACTACCCATAAAGCACACACACACATGCGTGGGTGTGCCAGAGGTCACATTGAGTAGCAGCCTTTGCAGCTTCACTCTCAGCCCATTAGTCCGCCACTCCACTCAAACACACACACACAGCTGGGCAGACTGTGTTGACTGAGTTGAGACGTCAGTCGGCAACCTTCCAAGCCACGACGCTTGGCGCACCGTAATAGTCTCAGAACCGGATCTCACATGCAGCAGAGGAGCCGAGAAGAACACCTCCCACTTACGTGACAGGCGGTTCAGGTGTTTGTGGGGTAATTTGTGGTGATGTGGTGTAGCCGGCGGTTGGCTACTGCAAGTTTTCGCGAATGCGCATGCGATCTAGCAGGCCCGTGCGATGGCTGAATGGGCGACGACAGGGCGGGCAGCTGAGACGAATGTGTCTGGTGTATGTTGGTGCTTCAGGCACTGCTTTGCCAGTCTCCGTGCGATGGATTCGCAGGTGACAGACCAGGCGGACATGTACCTTCCATCCTCAAGTGATCGACTCCAAGATAGTTGCAGTTGTCTCAGCATGCCGTGGATGCTGAGTATTCTAGTCCGTTCTAGAACTTCCATGCCGGGGATCCTGTCTTGTCATCACACCTTTAGTATTCCGCGAAGACAGCTGCGATGGAAGTGGTTAAGCTGTTTGAAATGACTGTATTAGACGGTCCAGGTCTCCGCTCCAAAAAGAAGTGTCGTCAGGACGACGAGCTTGTACATCTCCAAGTTCGTGTTCAGTTGAAGGCCATGGCGATTCCACACGGGGTTATGCAGCTGACCTAGGGCTTGCCTGACCTTGGAGATCCGGCAGACCACTCCGTCGTCAGTTCCGACGAAGCACGACATTGTGCTGCCTAGGTAGTTACGTTATCCACGGACTTCAGTCCGGTGCCGTTGATGCGGATACGACGGACACAGTGTTTAGCGGTCGACGGCTGTTGCTGCATGATCACCGCCTTGTCCGTATTGGTGGTCAGTCCGAGGTGGGCACAGCCGGAGGCGAAGAGATACATGCTCCGTTGCATGTCTTCTTCGGTCGTGCTGTTGAGTGCGCAGTAGTCATCGAAGAGCAAATTGTACATAGTAGTTATGCAGAGGCGCGTCGGGGTCTGCATTCGCCGGCTGTTGAGAAGGTATCCGTCAGTTCTGTAGTTGATGCGGATCTTAGGATGCTGATCACAGTAGACATCCATAAGCATGAGACTGAAGAGGGTGGGCGCGAGTACGAATCCCTGCTTCACTCCGTTGGCCACTCCGAACGTCTCGGAGATTGCGCCATTGTCCGTGATGCGCGCCATCATCCCGCCGTGAATCGCTCGGGACAGTCGGACTTCTGCGTGATTTTCCACAGTCCTTCGCGATTCATTGTGTCAAAGGCTTCCGTTAGATCCACAAACGTGATGTAGAGATGAGTCCGCATCTCCCGGCACTTCTCTCGTGGCTGGCGGGCGACATAGGTCGTATTAGTGGTTGTGCGGTGTCGTCGGCAGCCACATTTGCCTTCCGGCAGAAGTCCTTGCCTAAGTGGCCGTTGAGGCGATTGAGGAGGATGCGGGCGAAGATGTTGAGTAGGGAGATTCCCCTGTGAATGTCACAGACTTGCCAGTCTACTTTGAGCTTGTACAGCTGGACGATGGTTGCGTCCTCGAAATCCTGAGCAATTTGTCTGCAGTGCCACAGCTCCTGAAATAGCACCATCAGTCGGTGGTCGCTGCGATTTCAGCTGGGATCGCATCGGAGCCTGGTACTTGCCCCTCTGGAGAGTTATTACACGGCGTGGATGGTTTCTGGGAGATAGGCCGGGAGGTCCAAGTTTGTGTTGATTTCCATTTGGGGGTGCCGGTCAATGACAGGGTTGGAGATTGTGGAGGGACGGTTGAGGACGTTCCTGAACTGCTCGGCCTAACGCTTCAGAATCTGCAATTTCTCCGTCAGAAGCGTTGGTTCATCGGAGCTGAGAGGCGTTGCGTCTCCTTTGGTTGAGGGGACCGTAGATCGCCATGATCGCAGTGAAGAAGTTCTTTGATTTGTTGCGGTTGGCGTATTCCTGGGTCTCATCCGTCTTGCGAGCCATCCAGTAGTCCTGTGTTTCTTGCAACCGTTGCTGCGCCAGGCGGCGACACTGGTAGAAAGCCGCGTTGTTCGCGTCGTTTGAACTGTTCAGAAAGGCTCTAAGCAGCCTGTTCTTCATGGCGAGCAGGTTACTTATAGCTGCGTCGTTGCCATCAAACCAGTCCTCGTGCTGGCGACGGGCGCGGCCGAGGACAGCCAGGCGGTCGAGTGGACGGCGTCCCATAGTCGGCACCATCGAGTCTTCATGGAGGTGTTGACGTCCGAGCAGGCAAAGACAACAAAGAGGTCTTCAGCCCACCTGTGGGTCACTTACCTTGTGGCCTCCTCCGGGGTTGCAAACGGAGCCTCATCTTGAAGATGACGAGGCGGCGTCGCAGATCGCCCTGATCACCACCACGTCCAGCCGATCTCGCCGCCAGTGCTGCGACCGAGGATGCATTCAGATGACCTACTTCCACAACCGCAGGCGGAAGAATGTGTTGGTCAGCAGGAGGCGGTGTTCAGCACAGGTTCGCAGGAGGAGGAGTAGGCCATTGTTGTTGCAGCCGGCGATTCCGTGAGGACCCGGCATTCCTCTCCAGGCAGCATGATCTGTGCCGACGCGGGCGTTGAGGTCGCCAAAAACTTATCCGCCTTCGGTACAGACGCTAGGACGGCGTGCGGGTTTTCGTATGACTTTGTCCTTGCCTCGCCAGATCCGGTCATTGTTGGGCTGTGGGCGCTAATGATGGTGGCGAAGTTGGATCCCCGAAGAGGCAGGCGCAGGCTCATCAGCCGGTCGTTGATGCCCTGCGGCAGAGAGGGCAGTCGTCGAGCGAAGTCGCTTCGGGTGGCAAAGGCGACGTCCGCGTCTCGTCACTCTACCTTGGGACGGCCGATCCAGAAGGAGATGTAGCCGACACCCACCTCCTCCAGTTGGCCTTGCTCCAAGAGACGGGTCTTACTGAATGCAGTGATGTCCATCTTGTAGCGCGCCAGTTCCCGAGCGAATAGCGTCGTGCTTCGTTCCGGTCGGTCGCTCCCGGTATTTTTAAAAGAGGACGAACGTCTCAAGCTGCCAGAATGAGCGGACCCACCCAAACAGTCGGTAGGGTGGGGCAGAGGGGAGGGAGGAGGAGGAAGAAGAAGAGATAGGGAGTATTGTTTCCGTCTTGATTGTTTCGACCGCACGTGTAGTAGTCTGCGAGCCGTGGTCTACTCGCAGATGTCGTGAATCCAGCTTTGTTTAGGGCGTCTTTTTTAGCCCGCTTTTCCTCGTGGGGAAAAGCAGTGCTCTCCCTAAATAGGGATGCTTTGTCGCACCAGACGGATACCGCTCCCCATAATGCGTCATGGGCTTTAGTGAGAGAACGACCAGTGCGCTGGGCCGCCTACGTGTCGCCCTCGCTGTAGGACTCTCGACCGTAGGATAATACAGTAGATTGAAGAGTACAACTGCGGGAGATTAAGGGAAAAGTGGGGAGAAAGTGGAGGAGGAGGCGGGAGGAGAAGAGCGGAGTAGGAGGAGAAGGGTGGAGGAGCGGGGAGTAGAAAAAGGGGGGAAAGGAAGAGAAGGGAGCAGAATTACCGTGTGTGGAGATACACACACGGATACCCTCACCTAGTATAGGTGGTTACCTGGGTGTGACCGCTAAACAAAGCCTAGCTCCGGGGAACCACATGTGAGAGTTTGGTGCCAGTTAATGGATGGTAGACCTAGTCAAAACCTGCAAGCAAGTGAGCGACCTACTACGAACTTCACGTGGACCTACAGCTGGACACCCCTACAGTCCAACCTTCTAAAACTAAGCTTAGCGCTAACCCCAGTGGTAACACTTGAGGAAGGCGCGACAGGAAATCACGCCTACTCGAATGTTGCAAGTGTGTACTTCATGGAAATGAAGACTAGGTGGAGTCGCATATCCGATCTTCACCGTGCCATATTCTAGCTAGTGCGCCCTCTAGGATCCCAATCCCAGTTATGTCTCCGAGAATCTCCCCTTTGGGGGTATTTTATCTAATTTTCATGACTATCTAAGTAAGCGGCAGGCATTAGGAACCATTTTCCATTAGTGGCCAAATATTCTCAAAATCATGGTTCCTAACTAAATCAATACTCTGTCCCAAATTGCTATCTGTGCCAAGCCATTTCATCTCTGTAATAGCTCAACTGGATATTCTTAGGGGAAAAGCGTCAAAATCTTAAGCCATTTCTTTGTTACTCCTGTCGTCTATTTTCAACGGCGATTTCTTTATTCTTATTTTGTCATCACTCAGATTTGGGGTATGAACTCGTTTCCAGTCTGTGACGGATATCTTCATACTCTTAACACCAAGATTCCCTCGCCATTCATTCCGTCAGCCCTCCTCATTGTTTGCTATAGGCGACATTCTATGAAAAGATGATCGTGCTTCCGACGAGGTCCGACAGGACGGACCCCGTCGACGTCACCCGTATCTTTCAAAGGAACCTGATTCAGGCAATTAATTAGTTACTCTCCTCGGATCCGTATTGGTGGGAATTTCTGCTCGAGGGGGAGATTTAATGTATGGTTGGTTTTTCGAAATCAAGCTTAAAAACTGCTGCTGCTAGGCGATTTATTTTGATCGCACAGAGGTACAGAGAGGTCTTCAGAAAGGAATAACTCTTTGTATTGAGTTATCTTACTGTGGTGTCAGCACTACAGTTAGACGACCAGTAAATGGCCAGGACTTTACGATTTCATGGGGAAGCCGCAGCTGGATTTAGCTAACTTGATTTGGACTCATTTTAATGGTAAATTTTTCAAGTGTTTGATTTCCGTCTCTCCACGCATGATTGGACTCGGCGAAGAAACCTGACGCCTGTCGATGCCCTTTTCGCCCTCCTCTATTTCAGTCTTTGGTTTTTAGAGGTGATATCCAACGTCGGTTCGTAAGATAATAGTTACCTTCCCTTCGAAATCGTAGGCATTTTTGCTACTTATTTTCTCGGAGGTAGTTAGGAATATCTAGATGTTTGAGGTCTCGACGATGACTTGCAGATGGTGCAAAAGTTGTCGGATCCTGTTTCACTTAACACCAGTTAGCGTTATGGTTAATGTCAGAGCCTGGTAACTCCAAAATGAACGCATGTTTAACGGACCTGAGATCGGTGACGCCTTGAGCGTCCTACGTCCCTCTTTGCATCATCGCCCATGAGGTAGATCATTAACAGTCCACGTTTGTCAATCAGTGACAATATGGCAATATGGCCCATAATCAGACGGTCCTTCTTGAGGAGCTGCGACAACATCGCGCACTCATGGTTGGAAAACTTGGATAAATACTTGCCTCCACCGTCGTTGTCGGTCAAAGGCCTCCCGCACTGCGCTTGCCGCTATGCACCAAGGAGGCCTACGAAGACTTCGTCGGTAAGCTAAACGATGAGGCCGATTTTCGGGAAGAAGTGGTATGTAAATATGCAGCTTTATTTACTCTCCATGTCTTGTAGATTAGACAACTTGTCTCCGTTGGCAGACGAAATAACGACGAGTTCGTGAGGAATCTCCTCAGTAAACTGCTAGGACCGCCCCTTTGCCTTACCTACTCCTTGGGTGGCTCAATGGGGAAACAATCCTTTGTTGGTAGTCCTTTATATGCACTCCTGTGTGGTAAGTTTTCCACATTTGTTAACCGTTCAGATGTCATTCGCCTGAACCCTACCTTCAGCGGCTGAGCCCATGAAATGGCTCGCAAGATGGCCATTGATTGGTTTCATGGATCGAGGGACCGGGATGGCGGCCGGGCACAACGCCGGGGGGCAGTTGGAGGGACTAGCAATGATACATCTTACCCCATGCTGTCTCCATCTGAAGACATGGTAAATCGCATCAATGAACTTTACATATTCAAGTTTAAGTATGCATACTACTGCAGTTAACTTAATTAGCATAACAATCGTTATTTTACTTTTGAGGTATTAATTCCCTTCCCTCAACCATGTGTTTTCCTAGTTGTTTTTCTTCACCCATAGAAACCAGCCGTTGAGGAGAGGACTTATGGAACGCCCAACTGAATGGCATAACATATGTAGCAGTCCATGTATACAATGGCACTGACATTTATTGTGATTGTACATATATCCCAATTGCGTTTTAGTTACTACAATAAATATCCCATTCACATGCATTTGCGTCGCACGTACTGTCTGATACTGGGTGCCGATTAATGGGTACATGTACAGCGGGTCACTGTGACTACTATGTAATATCGAAGTACTCCACGTACGCCGGCTGGGTTTCGACGTGCAATATGCGGGAACACTGAGGCATTGCGCCTCATGGGACTTACCATGCAGGTCGATAATCTAAAGGGGTTCCAAAAGTGGACGAAAAGGTGGCGTTGCACGCGCATTTTTCGCTGGCAGGGCCAGGCGGGACTGTCGCGTAGAATGCCCAGCCAGAGCCCTTTCACAGCCCCTCTAGCTCCGCCATATTTGAGGGGGTTAGGGGGGTGGTGCTGGCAGGTATCATACACACGGTCAAACAATGAATAAAGTTGATACGGGGGACGAAGGCTTATTAGTTGAGTAGGGTAAGGAAAAAGAGAATTTGTGAAATAACACCAATGGAGTAGGCAGAATGGCATTACCGACAAAGACAAGGAATGGCCATTTCTGGCTTATTAGCCGTCGTCAGCCAGTCATACCCAACCTCGAAGTGTGGAACATCCGAGGCTCGAACAGGTCGCGAGTTCGAGCCTCGGGTGTTCCACACTTTGAGGCTGGGTATGACTGGCTGACGACAGCTAATAAGCCAGAAATGGCCATTCCAGTCTCCCTTGCCTTTGTCGGTAATACCATTCTGCCTATATCATGCGCCGCTGTGCGGCTGCTGGTTGGGCTCGAGAGAGAGCCCGTAAGGCGCAGCGGAACGAGTGAGTTCCGTAAGAACGATCGGTGAGCGCTCCGACCATATTAATGGAGTACTTCACGGAAAAACGGCGAAGAAAGTTAATGTAGAAAAGCTGATTGGCTGTTAGCCAATGAGGCAGGGTGGATGAACTCGTCGATGAGCCGAGCGCTGACCACAATCGTCGTTGCTACGTGAAAGATAAAAACGAAAAGTGACTAAATGTGCAGCTCGTTCTTAACCAACGACCATTATACCTCTCCGTTTGTATAAAATGCTGTATGTTTGTGTGCCCTAAGGACAGTGCTCTCCAAATGGATACTGTTTTGGCTTATTTTCTATAAGGGAAATTTCGGTATACACCTTTGTTTTCCCTACTGTCACAAGCAATAGAAATATGTAAAAAAATCGGAAAAGAAGGCATCAAACAAACACAAAATAACGCCAAACGCTTACGTAAAGACAAATGGATTTAACTAATAGAGCGTATAATATCGGTCATTTTATGTAAACGGATGCTCCAGAGGTAATAATACGAGGTCATATGGCTTTAGACGCCAATGTAAATGCCAGCAATTGTGTGGAAGGTGTCATATGTATTAATAAAAATGCACAAATAAATATTACTGAACGCTATACAGTGATATATGAAACAGCGATCAACCGTTAGCGTAAGGCGTCAAGACGACGTCGGTCACATGACATTAAGGTTAGGCAATGTTATCCCGATCCAGCTTATGTTTGACAATTTCTACAGATGTGGACATAACATCTGCATGGAGAACACTTCAAGCTTTAACAACTCTGTTGGAGAACTTTTGTGTGTCCAGTCTGACCTAGTCACACGTAGTTTGCGTGAATGTCCTCGCAAGTTCGTTGTGGTTGTTAACTCAAAAAAGACTCCAGGTACCTGACAGTACTCCTTATCGGGTATTGTGCGGAATGCTTGTATTAAGTCACCTCGGGGCTGTCTGTAACTCGGACTAAAGAAAAAAAATCTCCCCAAAATTTGTACACATTTATACTACGACCATCAATGCTACTTTTTTCAGTTCATTCTATTTAGGGGAATAGGCTCAAGCCCTTAGGTGTTCTAATTTAAACGCAAGATTT